GTAGCTGCAATGCCTTGTGCCAAAACCCCAGGGCACGGCCAGGAGTGTTTCCACACCCAATCTGATAGCACTCGTAGTGGCAGCAGCAGTGGCCAGACTCTTTTCTTAGGCTGTGCTTTGGGGTGAAACAAACTAACTATGCAAGTTTGTGTGAGTCCAGAAGAAAAGGAGCTTTTCCCACACGGCACAGAAAGGACTGCCATCGTATTAAAAAAGTACATCAGCCTTAGCCAGGTTAGCTCAGTGGTTAGAGCATCGGCCTGTGCACGGAAGGGTTGTAGGCTCAATCCCTGGCCCTGGTCAGGGTGAGCGCATGAGGCAACCGATCGATGTCTCTCTCTCTCTCTCTCACATCAATGTTTCTCTCTCTCTCTCTCTCCCTTCCACTCTCTGAAAAACAATGGAAAAAATATCCTCAGGTGAGGATATTTAAAAAATGTCAACACATATTTTAAAATATCAATATTTTAAAAACAACAACACATCATCCACTGAGACTGAGGAAGCCACTCACTGAGTATTGGATCAGAAGGTAGAAGCTCGTGCCTTGGATACAGGGACCCTCTCGTAAATTCCCTAGGCCCTGATGGGCCTGCAACAGCACACCCAGTGAGATGCAGACTACAGTCAGCTCACTTCACCCTACCTCTTCTAGAAGCCCATGTTCAGTTGTGGTATGTGGATTGTAAGAGGGATGTGGCAGTCAAGGGGAATGCAGAAGTCAATGGAGAGGCTTAAAGGAGCAGAAGAGTTGAAAGGATCTGGGCTGCGTAGGCATTCTATTCACTCGTTTGTTTATTTACCTCGTCTTAGTTAACTATGTGTTGAATGCCTGTTATGTGCCGGTCACAGTGTGGGGGAGGTGCCTTCCGCAGGAAACAGAGAAGATGTGAACCCTGTCTTTATGGAGCTGAAGGGGCCTGTGTGGCTTGAGGATCACTGTCTTCAGAAATAAGAAGTCTCAAAGCTGAGACTGTCATTATCAGGACACTACAACCTGAAATGGCTTACGCAGCAGTAAGAGAGAAGGGTTGGAAAATAGAGGAAAACTTTCCGTGTTTCTCCTGCCTATCATCGTGATTAATATTGGAAGAGTGACCAAGGCCATTGGTCCTCCATCCGTCCAGGATTTCACTGTGTAGAGCAGTGTTAGGCATGCTGTAGACGTCACAAAAATCCAAAGGCATCTGGAAGGGGTTAGTGGACTTTTGTTAGTGGTCATATTGGTGTTGGTTGTGGTTTTGTTGTTGTTTTAATTAGGGAGGGGGGGATTTTCTGGCTGGTATTGACCCTCCTGGAGACAGGGGCCTGGCCAGGTAAACGTTTGAAGCTGGCTGTTGTGAGAGGCTAGGATGCACTGAGGGTCATCTCTCAGTGCAGACTGCCTCCTCACCTACCCTCCTCTGACCTGACTTGTTTTCCTGTTAAAAACATCAGAAAGTCTCAGGACTGGAAGGGCCCAGCTCGTACCGCATCATGGTGAAGAATTCCTCCTTGGAGAGAAAGCCATTTCCATCAAGGTCGTACATGTTGAACATCAAGCGGGACTTGTCCTCTGGGGAGCCTGGGAAGAGAAAGGGGAATTCAGGTCACCTCTCTACTGAAAGACCCCTGGCTCCTGGGATGGCCCACCATCTCCCTACCTTTCATAAAGACCACAAGGATGTCCAGGAACTCCCGGAAGGACAGGTAGCCATTGCCATCTTTGTCAGCCAGAGAGAACATGTACTCCACAAACATGTCCTGGGGCTTGAGGCCAAGGGACTCAGCAAACTCAGCCCTACTCAGCTCACACGTCAGGGCCTCTCGCACCTTCTGTGATGAGTCCAGGGGCATGGCTCCTGCATCTGCCTGGTTGATGTCCAGCACCTGCACCCGGGCAGCAGTAGAAGGAGGGAGAAAAGAAAGTGAGGCCTGGCTGGACCCAGTAAAGTGACCCTTGACATCTCTCCAAAGTCCAACTCAGAAAAGGTAAGCCCCAGGGTCTACTCCTGGTCCTCAGATATACTTCTGATTTGGACCTCTGCTCTCTTAGAGGGGGTGACTTGAATCTCTAGCATTCAGCCCATTTTCTCCCTGGACCCAAGATTCAGGAACTTTATACAGTGGGAACAGTGCTGGGGGCAGAGGGTGGGAGCGGGAGGAGCAAAGCTTGGGAATGCTAAGTGAGAGAGCCTATACTGGGGACAGAGGTGTAGTAGACAGGGGTGGACAGGCAGGAAGAGGCTAGGGGTATGTTCTCTTTCCAATTCAGACAGGCTGCCATGTGCCTGATGTGGTCTCTGCACATTATGCAAAGATTTTAAAAGTCATATACATGCAACAACCATTTGTTAAATGCCTACAATGTCCAGTTAAGTCCTCACTTAATGCTGTCAATAGGTTCTGTGACTTTCAGCAAAATGAGGTATAATGAAACCAGTTTTACCATATGCTCGTTGATATAAGCTTGAGTTAAGTTCTATGTCATCTCATCGATGTTATGTTATTAGAAGACCTGCTGTAGCAAGCATTTGGACTAAACACTACATAGAACAGTGATGAGGGAGCTAAAATCCAGAGCAAGATGATGCGATTTGCCTAAGGTCACACAGATAGTGAGTGGCAGACTAGGATTCAAACAAGGCTGTCTCCAGCCCGCAGAGCAGAAGCTTAGTTCACCCCACAAAGCATCCTGTCAAGCCAAGGTTCCCTCCAGCTCCTGGGTTGGTTCTATCTTCAAAAAGCACAGCCATGGCACCTGGGCAAAAAGGTGCCTGAAGAAGATCTCCAGGATGCGTCCCCGCTGCTGCTTGGTCACAGCCTTCCTGAACAGCTCATTCTCGCCCATCTCAGCTGTGGGGAGGCTGAGATTCCAGCGCACACAGAAGTCTCGCAGCTGCTGCACAAAAGTGTTTCGCTCCTCCTCAGAGTTAAACAGCAGCACCTGGGTGGGAGGAAGGCTGAGCCAATGCTCAGAGCTCAAGCTTCTGATTCGGCCTCCCTCAAAGGCCCTTAGGTTGGGGGAAGGAGAAAAAAGCTGCCCCTCTCTGTCCAGGTTGGGGACAGCTGAGTGGCCCAAGAGGGTCAGAAGGAGGGTCAGGTTGAGTCTGGGGACCTCTGAAAGGAGTGCCTCTCCCAGCATCAGCCTTCACAGGTGAGCTCTGTAGCTAAGAGGAGGGGGACCTGAGAGGACTCGCTGTGAGAGGGGAGGCAGGATGGGCCATACCAGGTCATACTCCTTGGGGATCTTGAGCAGCAGGGTGCGACGTCTGCGGTTGCTGGACAGAATGAGGTTGACCTGCTGCAGGGGCTGCAGCTGGATGGTGCGGAGCACAGAGAGATGCCCATCCAGAATCTGGAGACACCTGTCTGGCAGCAGCTGAATGGTGATGGGGTAGCTCCCCTCTCTAGGGCCTGGCCACTCCATTGCTGTGGAGGAGATGATTGGGCAGCACAGTTCAGCAGAGGTCCTCAGGCCCCTGCCCTCAGGCCCATTCCGTTCTACTGGTCTGAGCAGGCATCCCCAAGCCAGGCTTTCTCCCCACATCTGGAGCCCGGTTCTTTCTTCCAGGGCCCCCCTCTCCTTCCCCCTCAGCCCCAACCTACCTGGAACTCCGACTTTGGCTGCCTCCTTCTTCATACTCTCTTTGTTTTTCTTTTGTAACTTCTTGCGTTCTCGGCTCCGGAAATGGGCCACCACCCCAGAGATAAGCAGACTCACTGAAAGGGATCAGGAGACAGTGGGTAGGGGAGCTCCTCACCTGAAATTTTACTGAGGCCTGGCTGCCACCCCTCCCTTCCCAACACCCACTGTGCCTGACTTCAACTGTACCAAGAAACTAGCCCTGCAAGCCAGTAGGTAATGAGGGGCAGGGACAGTCTGTGGGAAGCGGGGAGACGAGAGAAGAGAGGTGGGCGGCTGGGTGAAGGGCGCACCTAGTGGAAGACAGCAGAGAGCCACAATGGTGATACCAAAACCAGGACCACTGCCCTTAAAGTAGTCAAACACGGTCATGTGCACACAGGATGGCAAACCAACAGTTGTGATCTGCTGGGGCTGCGGGCATGGTGCACCTGAGGGAGAGAGCACAAAATATCTCAAAGCCTAAGGATCCCACTTCTTGGCCAGTCATCCTCTCTCTCCTGTTAAGAACCAGGTACCCTCCTCTCTCCCAGGCTCACCTCCCTGGAACATGCTCCCCTCAAAAAGTCCCCTTGCATATCCCACCTCTCAGCACTCACTGCAGGTTGACCACTGGGTGCAGCCTGCAAACTAGTCCAATCCCTAGTGGAGGAGATGGCCTAATGCAGGCCTTCCAGACTGACACAGAAGGCTCTGCCTGGCGCCTGGCTCCCTGGATAGCACCAAGTGATCCCCCAAACCTTGGTCCTTTCTCCAGTAGTCATCGCTTGTGTTCTCACAGGCCACCCACCTTCATGCCAGATAAAGACATTAGGCTGCAGGGTACTGGGGTCCACATTGGTGACAGCCACCAGCACATCCCGCAGAGTGGTGTTTCTGATTTCTGCAATTTCCTCCCTGGAGAACAGCCTAAGTTGGAGAAAGTCAAGAATTGTTGGAATAAGGAGTTGCAGCCCTCCAGCAACCTCAGTTCCAGGGATCCAAGTGAGGAGAGACCCAGAGGGGCTGAGGACGGGGCAGAGCCAGCTGGGAATCAAGGGCCCATGGGGGTTGTTTACAGGCAGGGGGTCTGGGCCCAGGCCAAGGTGGAGTCTGAGGTGGGAGCCCAGGCAGGCCTTACCCATTCCTGGTGTTCTCAAACCAGTAACGGTCACCATCCCGCAGCCTCACAAACTGGTCAAGGACTATGGCGCTGAAGAGAGGTCCAGGGTCCCCGTGACTCTCCAGAAGCCCCCCAGGGAGTAGCTCCAGCAGGGACAGGTCCTGGTTGTACAGGGCAGCTGTGGCCTCCAGCACCTGGTGCACCATAGGAGGTGAGGAGTGTGTATACACGTGTGTGTCTGTGTGTTGGGGAGGGCAGCCACTCTTGCCCCTCCCCTCAAACACAAGATGCCATCTGCTACTTGGCTTGCTGCTCAGGCCTGAGGAACTCTCCTCTTCCTAGGCAGCCTCCTTGATTGGTGGCTAATCTTGTGGGAGGATGAGTGTGTCCCTGCCCATGGTAAGACCACTGTCAGATGCCTAAGGACCATATCTTGTGACCATCGCTACCCAGACTGCCCAGCCCCAATGATTAGCAGCTTCAGAGTCACCCAACTCATGGGGAGGAACCCTGCAGGAATAGGGCAATATAGTGGTGAGGAACATCCTCTGGAATCAGGAGGCTGAATTTAAATCCTGCCTCTAAGACTGGCTTCACAACTATGTCATTGATAAAATGGGGATAATGGTAGTATCTACCCTACAACATTCCCGACATAGATTAAATAAATTACATGTGTAAAGGACCTGGAACAGTAAGGCTTTAGTTGCTATTATTATCATTACTACTCCTGACCTGGGGGTCCACATCGGGGTTGAGGTGACTCCAGTTCTTCGGGATCTCTAACCCCAAGGCTAGAAGAGCTTGGCTATAGCTGGGCAGCCCCATATCCCGGCCACGTTGGATGCTGCTGGCCACGTAGTCTGTGCGGGTGAACTTGCCAGAACCAGGCCAATAATCTAAGGAGGGGAGAGGACTAGACTAGAAGCTCATTCGCCTCAACCTTCCTTGCCCAATAGCCTCGAATTGGGCTCTTGACACTAACTACTGCCCCCCCTCCCCCAGCACTTGTCTACATGTGACCCATATCCATATCAACCTGGCCTTGATGTGGAGTCAATGTCACCATGTGTGATCATGGGCAATTTTTCTGGCAAGACTCTTCCCCTAAGACCCAAAACTGTTTTAGTTATCAAGCAGAAAATTCCCTGGCTTTTACCTCCTTAACCTCAAGACAGGGCTGGATGAAAACCTTTAGAGATCTAAGCACCAAAGAGATTGTGGTGCCGCCCCTTCCCCGCATGCTCAGACATATTTAGAATGAAAACAACAGTAAACTGTAAGTTGAGGGGAAATTTTCAAAGCTTATTTTCTTCTAATGGCTATTTGCAGTGCGTGTATCTGTTCCTGCACTATAGGTACCCATAGGTCTGCCTGCTGATTAACTCGAAAGAGCCCCCAGGCTGCCCAGCCTCTGGGCCCCCATCCCTTCTGGCTCCAGAGCTCACCCCTCAGATCTTCAACCACTATCCTGTCCTCCAGCTCTGAAATCTGGGAGGCCATTCCCAGCAGCAGATGATTCACTGCTTGGGCGCTGTTCAGGTAGGGGTTCTGGAAGTAAACAACACACCCAGTCAAGGTAGGCTTTCAAGTTCCTTCCCAAAGCCCAGTCTCTCTCACCTTGGACCACTGCAGTACCTCAGGACAAAGGTCCCTTGGCCAGTCCCAGACTCTCTTGAGCTGTTGTCCCCAGATAATTTTCTGATCACTCTATCCTTCATCTCCCACCACCCTGGAGCAGCAACACCCAAGGACTGGAATTGTTGCTTTCCCCAGCCTGTGTAATGAGACTGACCTTGAGCCACCTTCCCTTGACCCTGACCCCACGCTGACCTCCCGAATCCAGTAGCTGTTGCAGACTCTGAGGGCTGGGGAGCTGCCAAAATCCTTGATTGTGATCTTCTGAAAATAACAGCTGGCATTTCTAAAATGGGGAATCAAAAATGTGGTAAGGGAATCCAGGAAGAAGCTGAGATGGGGTTGAGGGAGGTGAGGGGACTCAGAGGGGCTTGGCCAGGTCTGAGGGATCGCCTCTGAACTTCCTTGAAGAGATCTGGCAGTGTATGTGGATTGAAGGTAGAGGTTGCTCTTTGTCCACACAGGGTGGGAGGGGAAGGAGGGAAGAGGGTTACTCAGCTGCTGGATAAATCCTACTCCCAACAACTGAAGTTCAGCCATTAGGAGGAGCTGGGGAGATTTCCCTGTTAAGACTGAACCTCCTATCCCAGGGTCCTGTTTCAAGACCCCAAATTCTGCTTTCCCCATGATACTGTGGAGGTATATAAAAGGCTCTGGGATCCCAGGCCCTCTGATTCACCACCTCTGCCAGTGCTGTGCCTTCTTTCCCACCACCGGCCCCTCCCTCACCTCATGTAGACGCCAGGGGGTACCATGGTGGAAAAGAACTGCTCAGAGGCCACCAGGAACTCTGGAGAGATGCTGGGGTCCAGGAAAGGGCGGTACCCTGCCCCATGGGAGTAAGAGCAGAAATTAGATCCTTAACCCCCACTCCCCCCACCCCCTATAACCTGCACCCACCTGTCTTCTTCCCCTTATGGGTCCTAACCATGACTTCCCCTCAGCCCAGGTGCTACCCCATGATGCCCTCACCTGTATATTCTGGGGGTGTTTTCTGCAAGAAGCTGGGCAGCCACTCATACAGAGCAATGTTCTGAGGGTCAAGAAAGAGGAAAGGGGAGGTGAGTGCTCCAGCTGCCAGGCCACGAGGGATCTGAGCCCAAGGAAAGCTTAAGTGGGGGAGGGCCACCAGGCACGGGCAGCCATGGGAAAGACAATTCCAACAGGAGAGGTGCTGAGGCCTGTCCTCCCAAGGAACAAGGGGTTTCGGGGGTGCGGGTGCAGCTAAGCCCCTTGTGTAAGCCGCACTTTGCCTCCTTATAATTTCAGGGTCTGTTCCTAGACCTCAGCTCTCCGGGAGGGCTGGACTCCCAGTAGAGGGTGTTTCTGGGTGGCGCATGCCCAAGGATGGAGGGCTCTGCAGGGGGGCAGAGTCTCCCGGGGACCAGGGCGTGAGGGTGGGGTGGGGAGGGCCGTGTCCCCGACCTGGTAAGTGGCGATGACCCTCTTGCGCGCGTGCTGGAACAGCTCCTCGTCGCCCCAGTGCGGGTGCTCGCGGGCCAGCCGCTGCGCCCACAGGTTGTGGTAGCGGAACCAGAGCAGGCCCAGCGCCTGCAGGAAGGGCTCGCGGTTCCCTCGCTCTGCCCCGAAGGCTGCGTCCG